TTTTAAATTCAAACACAATGTTGACTTAAAACATGTATTAATATCATTATTTTTTTGTTTGAAAATTTTTTGATATATTATTAACGAATCAAATTATGATAACTAATTTAAAAAATAAATATAATTATTACAAAACTCTTAAAATAAATACACAAAAATTTTATTTTTTAATTTTTTACTAATACAGTATCATAATTTGATTTGCTATCAATGTTTAATATTTGATAATTAACATACGTCAAATATAAATTTAAAAAAAAATTATAGGAAACAATTATATTACAGTAATATATATTCTTTCTATTCACATCATATTAATATTAAGTTATATTATTAAATTAAAATTATTAATTATTATAAAGAATAATAGAATGTAATCTATTAAAATAAATATTTATTCAGTTTTAATTATCACAAATGAGTATATAATAAGATGATTAATTTTTTAATGAAGATTATAATTATGTTGATATAATTTAAATAAAAAAACGTATAGTACTAACCTGAAATATATCTTTTAAAAAAGATATAAACTCTTTTTTTGTTTTTACGTTAGACGATAAAAAAAATGGCAAGCCGTGCACGCCCTAGGCGAATGATAGCGAAGAGTGATCTTGGAAATAAATGAATTTTGGTTATAGAAACCAGGCCTGCCTAGACATGATAAAGTTGGTGCATGGTTAGCATAGAACTAAAATCTCTTTTCATTCTGGGGCATAAAGAAGTTTACTTCGTTTTGAATTGGATTCAGCCACTCAAAATCGTTTGATCAAATCCTCTCTTCTCCAACTTTCGATTCATTGAATCCCTTTTCTCCTTCGAAATCAATCGGTCAGCTCTCTTTTCCTTAATTTTTAATCCAATTTATTATCTAATTGATGCTATGAACTTTTTTTTATTAATTTTAATTCCTTTTTCAATGATTTCAATACGATGTCATATAGTTGTTCAAGTTTTCAATTTTGTTTAGATTAATTATTTGTTATGTTAAATAATTTATTTTTTGATGGATAAAGAAAAAGGGGAAACAATTTTCTTTCTTCTTTAAAGAAAAAAAATCTTTTAAATGTTGAAAGATAGAATATTGCAGTTTTAAAGAATGTTAGACTCGGTTGATTATTCCTGGATGAGCTAAATGAGCTAATTGTTGAATTTTTTTTATACAACTAATAAGATCATAATTTTAATTGATTGATTTTTATCTGCAAATCCAAGACTAACCATTTGTAACAACTAAAAATTGATAGAACTATGACATAAAATAGAAATTAATTATATTGCATTTTTTTTTTTTTGGTTTTTCCTAGAGAATATGTATTTGGAGAAGAGATGAAGGAACATAGCGAATATGAGGAAACCTCCTTCACTGGTAGACCTTTGTGTTAGGACAGCGATAGATAACGTAAGATACCTTGGGGATGTTGGTGAGACAGATTCACATCTTCTTGAGCGTATTCTACCCCATTGTACAGTGGATCAATTATTGCACGTGGAGAAAAGTACAAAAGTAAGTTGATTTGCATAGTTTGTGCAAGAATTGGCATTTGGATCTGATTATATGTATAATTTGAAAAGGGATTGATTGATTGTTCTAGGGAAGGGATCTTACTCCAGTAACTAATAAACTTTGGAAGAATTTCTATGAGCTGCAGTTTGGTCATCAAAATATGACTCTTGTAATTGAGAGGATGAAGCTCAAGAAAGTTTCATTTAGATGGAGACAGTTGTATGAGGTAGGTAATCTTTTAACTTTCTTGACTTTCATGCCATCCTCTTACCTAATAGCTAGGTTGTTAGTGGAATGCTGAGGAACCAGCAATGTACCTTTACTTAAGGTGTGCACAGTTTTATGGATTTCCTTACTAAAGTTGGATGATTTATTGTAGGCAAAATTGAAGGATTTTCAGGAGGCTGAGAACAAAGCAAATGATCGGCTTAAGCAACTATACAAGAAAAAAGATGCTCGTATGCTTCTTATTCTTTGAATTCTTAATGACATAGCCAGATTTGACTTGTGCTTGCTTGCTAAATGTATGCTTCTGTCTCTTGAACTTTTTATCACTGGTTTGATTTGCATTTACAGTCCAGTGCAATATTGCCCCAAGCTTTCTCTGCAAGCCACAAAAGTCTTTGCCGAAAAGGCCCATTTCATCAAAAGTGCTAAAAATTGGAACTATTTCTTAATTACCATTGCCAGCAACCTAAATCAGGCCAAACTTGCACTGAGAGAAGCAGCCTTTAATTACGTGTCTTAGTACTTGGATTAATATTATTGAAGAGAACTAGAGAGTGCTTTTGGTAGTTGCCAGTATATTGTGTAAAATATTAAAGTATTTACTGACTTATTACCTTTACCCTAGACTGATTGGAGAGGAATAAAGAGTTTTTCTTGTGGTACTCTCATATGTATTTAGAGTAAAATATTAGAGTGTATGCATATACCCTTACCTTAATTACTAAAGAGAAATGTTCTTTTTATGATCATAATTTCGTACCATTATTTCTATTTTATTAGGAAAACAAAGTCGGCAGTTAGCTTTGCACTAAGTTCCACTTTCAACCAAAGAAGCTTTTATTCTGGTACATTCTTTGTACCTCAAAAGCTTGGTTGTTTGATCTAGTCCATTGGTCTCGTATATTGGAATATTTGCAACTTTGGTCTTTGTGCCTGATAATTAAAGAGGGCATTTCATGAATTGTTGGCTTTATTTATAAAGTCTTAATAATCCTTTTTAGAAATAATCCTTTTTAGATCTTATATCTGTATATTATCTCTTTTATGAACTTGCATACCATCGATTGGGTCATGCTAGCATAAGATGCAACTTGTACCTATTTTGTGAAATAATCGATTATCACAAAGACAAATCTATGCCCCATTTGAAGCTTTCAGGGTAATGAGACTGATGACATCCATGCGTTACATAGAAAATAGCCATAGAGGTGCTAAAACTTACAAAGCTGATGGAAGAGCATAAATCTTGTCAGCATAAATCTGACACTTATGTCATCTTCTGACATAATCAATATAGTCACTTTTCATTGTCAACCATAAATCTTGTCAGCATAAATCTAACACTTATGACATCTTCTAACATAATCAATATAGTCACTTTTCATTGTCAACCAATAATAGCCAGCACTTATAATTTTATCTAGCCATTATGTAACCATTCACATGTGCCCCCCCAAACCCCATCATGTATTTTTCAATACTTGTTTTTGCTTCAACTACATTTACACATCTTAAAAGTACCTTATCTTGGCTTCTTTTGTAAAAAACATCTCCATCAAGAAAAAAACTCAAAGCCATCCTTCTAATGATCCTTTTATCATTTTTTTATTGCATACTCTTGGTATTGTTGACTTTTGATATATTGAATAATATCATGATACCATGGTTTCCCATCAACTTCTTCTTCGACACCTGAGTGATATACTAGCACATCTTTCATGTCCAGCTTGATGGGTTGGATCTTGATATTTGTATTTATTTTAATCATTGCAACCAAAATGATCAGTGCATCAGTAATTTGGTTCTCCTCTTTAAGTAGATACTCAAATTAAACTTCTTCAAACTGCTTGACTAACTCAGAGATGTATTTATGATAGCAGATCAACTTCGAATCTCTTATTTCTCATTCACCTCGTAAGTTATAAATAACTAGTGCTAAATCTCCGAACATATCCAACACTTTGATCTTTCTTTCAATTGTTGCTTGTAAACCTATAAAAAAAATCTCGTATTCAGCCACATTATTTGAGTAGTTGAAATTCAATCTAGTTATGATGGGATAATAATGTCCATTAGGAAATATTAAAATTACCCTAATACCATGACCCAAAGCATTAGCAGCTCTATCAAAATACATCTTCAAAACCTTTTTAACAGTTTCATTTTCTTTAATGACTATCACATCTTCATCAGAAAAATCAAGCTTTATTGGTTCATAATCTTTAGCCACATGATCGGCAATGAACTCAGTTATTGCACTCTTTTTAATAACCTTTTGAGTTACATAGACAATATCATATTCTAAAAACATAACTTGCCATCGTACTATTCTTCCTATCAATGAAAGTTTTTCGAAGATATACTTGATAGGGTCTAACTTTGCTATAAGCTAAATAGTGTGATAAAGCATATATTGCCTGAGCCTTCAAGCTATCTAGGCTAGTGCACGACATATCTTTTCTAATGAAAAATACTTGGATTCATAATTAGTGAACTTTTTACTCAATTAGTAGATTGCTTGCTCTTTTTTGTTGGTTTCATCTCTTTACCCCAATACACATCCCATTTAATTTTCATGCATGGTTAACTATAAAATCAAAGGTTTTCTTGGAACTGATGGCACCAACATGAGTGGATTTGACAAGTATTCTTTGACTTTGTCAAAAGCTTCTTGGCATTCATCGTTTCATTCTCCTAGATCATGTTTTCTAAGAAGCTTGAAAATCGATTGCACTTGTAGGTAAGTTGTGAGATGAAACAAGCAATATAGTTCAATCTTCCCATAAAGCCTCGCATTTTTTTTAGGTATGAAGAGGGGATAAGTTTTGAATAGCACATATTTTGTTCGGATCCACTTCTATTTCTTTTTCACTAACCATAAAGCCCAATAGGTTTTTGATTTAGCATCGAATGTACATTTGGTAGGATTTAACTTCAGTTGGAATCTCCTCAACCTATCAAACAACTTTCTGAGATTGACTACATGAGATTTTGCAATCATATCATCCACATACATTTATATCGCTTTATGCGTCATGTCATGAAAGAGAGTCACCATCACTCTTTGATAAGTAGCACCGGTATTTTTCAATCCAAAAGGCATGACTTTGTAACAAAATATCCCTCACACGATCACAAACATTATTTTTTTCCATATCTTCTCCAACCATCTTAATCTGATTGTAGCCTGAGAAGCCATCCATAAAGGAAAATGTGAAATACCTAGCAGTATTATCCATTAGGGTATCGATATGGGGTAGAGGAAAATTATCCTTAGGATTTGCCCTATTCAGATCTCGATAATCGATATATATTCTCACTTTTCATCTTTCTTGGAAATAGGCACTATATTGGCTACCCATTCAAGATATTTTGCCACCTCTAAAATTCAGCGTCAAATTGCTTTTTCACCTCTTCCTTAATTTTCAGTAGCATCTCTAGCTTCATGCACCTTAGCTTTTGTTGTACTGACTTGCAATCTAATTTCAAAGGCAATTTATGCTCTGTAATATCAGTATTGAGTTTAGGCATATCCTGGTAAGACCATGTGAACACATCTACGTATTCTCAGAGTAGTTTTTCTAGCCTTTGCCTATCAACTAATGAAATAAACATACCAATTTTAACCTATTTTCTATTTTTATCATCCCTCAAATTCACTAATTTGGTAATTTCTTGGTAGGGCTCAATTAGCTTATCTTCGTGTTCTATTAATTTCAACAAATCAAGAGGTTATGTGTAATTATCTAAATCTTTTTCATTATCAAGTTTGTCAACATGAATTGTGTTTTCAAAATCAAATTTGAGATTATTATCATGGTTATCTTCGTATTCATTATTTGAGACCCTACAAAGGATGAGATGAAGAGAATATTGGTACTCAAAAGTGGAATGGCAAGAAAATGATTAAGGCATAATGAAAAAAATTGGATTGTATAAATGAAAATGAAAATAAATAGAAATGCAGACGCATCTTCTAAGTCTTTTATTAAAACGACAAACATAAATACACCACTAAAGATTTTTTAATGCTTATAGAGAGCAATTAAGGATTTAAAGTTTCACAATAAATTATTTTTAAAAGTTTAAAGACAAGCATGCAGCTTTATGACTTTTCAATTATCTAGCTCAAAATTTGAAGGGCAAAGACGTATGAATAGCTCTTCATCCTAACTCTTCTTTTTTTCCCTATATATCATCTAAATGGCTAGCTCAGAAAAAGTTTCAATCAACTTTGCATTTAGGGCTTCAAATGAATCTAGGTAAATATAACCTCCTAAATGAAAAGACTCATAGAGATAATAACCATCAACTCAAACTTTGGTTCATATCCCTTAAGATTAGCCATTTTTTTCTCACTCATGATTTTCATTATGTTTCCTTTTGTTGGTTTATAACCCAAGCTGAATCTATTTTTTTATCATATATTGTTGGAGGCATCGTGATTCCTTGCAAATTCTTTCTAAGTCTAGCTCCAGGTTGCCATCCCATTTTGATAAGTTGCTTAACAATCATTTTAATAGTTGTAGATAGGTGTGATGAATATAATTTAGATCTTTCAGCCATATATATTACGTTGGCAATCTCGAAAGATCTAAAAAAGCACTTCGAGGCTTCATCTAGCACTTTTACATAAGAAGTATTTATTGATTGGGTTACCAGTAAATCTTATTTTTTTGCCACACATGTAAGCTTTCCATCAATAATGAATTTGCCTTTCTAGTGCAATGAAGATGGAACAGCACCTGCCATATGAATCCATGGCCTACCCACCAAGCAACTGTATGAGAGGGAGATATCCATAACTTGGAATTTCATATTGAAAGTGCAAGGGCCAATTTGCAATGGAATTTTTATATCTTTTAGCACCTCTTTTCGGTCCTATTAAAGGCTTGAACTACCATATGATTAGGTTTTATGTAAGATCCATCAACAGGTAGTTTTGCCAAAGTAGTTATGGGCATAACTTTGATTGATAAGCCATTGTCAATCAAACCTTAGCCATTATGTGACTTTTACATTTTACAGTAATATGGAGAGCTTGGTACTTCTTCGACCTTCAAGAGGAATCTCTTCATCACTAAAAGAGATATAGTTTGAAATTACTAGATTGCCAACAAACTATTTCACGTACTCAACAAATATATTGTAGGACACATATATTTGATTGAACACCTTTAATAGAGTGTTACAGTGCAACTTTGAGCTTAGTAACAATGACAATAGCAAAATTCTAGCTAGCATCTTATC